TATACAGATAGCGCAAAATGAAGATCTAAACTAAAAGAGATCTAAAGGAAGATAACCCAATCAAAATTGTTACAATATAATTCTTTCTTATATATGAATATTTAGCATAAAAAGAAATTTGATCAAGATAATATAATAAATCTTTAATTATATATTATTATTAATAACTTTGATAGGAAGTATACTTGATTTTGTTTATTATTTTTATTTTATTCTGAATTATATACAGTATTTCTTTCTCTAGTTAAATCACTAAAAATTATAATTCTTATAATTTAACTTTCTATTCATAATATATAATAATGTTAAATTAAATATTTTTACTTGATTTAATTAAGTAATTTTTGTGAAAAATTTCAGTTATAATCAAGTCTTTTATTTTTATGCTTAATATTATCTTATTAATTATCTTTCTTTTTCATAAAATAAAATGCTTAAAAAAATTTTCTTACATTAAATATTTTAAATAGTGTTAATAAATTACTATTATTATATAATAACTCTAATAGATCTATTCCAATTTTCTCAAATGGTTCTTTATTTTTAATTGAATATAATAAATTGTTCTTTCTAACTTCTATCTTTATATTATGTCATTCAATAACAAAATATGAATAGAAATTTTTAATAACTAATATACTATTTGTTAAATGCTAACTAATATATTGATATTCTGTAAGTCTTTATAAATTTTTCAATATCATACATTTTTTTCACATTGAAAGATAGCTTCTTGATTTTGTTCATATTTGTGCTGAAGTTGTAAAATGTTTTTTTCTTATCCCATTGTTTGACAATTGAAAATTATTTGTTTTCTTGCTATATTTAATTAAAATGACTGTCAATTTTTGTGAAGATTGATGTTCCATTGTACTTGTGGTTAGTAGCAATTTATAAAAACAAGACGTGCTAACAGAGTATCATATGATATTTTTTATTTTTGACACTACTAAGATTTGTAATTTGGGAAAGGTAAGCATATTTATTTTTGTGAATGTATCTTCTGAATTCTTCTGAACAAAATACTGAAATATTTGTGTATTAAATAAAAATGTAATGTATCAATATCGTGACATATAGATTAAATAAAAATATACTACATAACTGATGGAGTTTTGTTGTGTATAGAGCGAACAACATTTATATATTCATTTAAAAACAATTAAAACATCATCAGAACTTCTAAGGCAAAGAATGGAACAAAGTTCTGAAACCTCCTTTCTCACATTTATTTTACCAGCACAAGAAAATGTTCAAAATGAAATGCAATCAAAGCAAGTTACACTTGATGACAATAATATTGATGACGAGAACTTTCATGCAATTATAGCTGCAAATTCCAATATAAATAGCAATAATTCATCATTAATTGCAAACGATCTAAAAAAAACCCAATAGAACGTCAATGAGACTTCTTCAAGTATTGCAACCTCGCCAACTCAATTATCAGAACTTAAAAACGATGATTCTCCGTACACTAAACGTCAAAAACTAACAACCTTATGTTTTGACATATGCGATATTAATAAGAGCGCACCTAATCAATACATTCAATCTACAACTTCTCATCCAAATAACTTAAATAATAATTCACATACATCGATCAGTGAATCTCGGGCTTCGATACCATCTTGGGAAATCGAATCAAAACAAAATTTTCTAAGTCGTCAAGCTAAAAATGCAACTAGATCTAATTCGAAAAGGCAAAATAATGATGCAGTTGAAAGCGAAGGAGGAAGAATCATATTTTCTAACATTGAGGGCGACGAAAACGTTGTTAATGATGTAGATTCGTCAACGATGTCGACAACTGTAACGTCAAGATTTGGAAACGAAGAAGAAACCACTACTGAACACGATACATTAGATCGTGAGGATAGTTTAATTGATAAAGCAAGTTTTATTTGATTAAGTTTATTTTTTCATATTTATATGTACTCATTTAATTATTAATTATTAGGTTTTTAGAAAATATAGTGCCAATGCTTCAAAAAGAAGGAAAATCAGCAGTGCCATTAACTACTGATATTGACAAGGTAATAATGGCTGGAAATCGAAAATTGGGTTGTGCATATTATAACATGGCTACTTCCACTTTATATATAATGGAAGATATGGAAGAAAATAACACTCCTTATGATTTACTTGATTTATGCAAGTGCATGTATATATAGTTTTTACTAGATGTTTAATTCTTTAATATTTTGAATAAAGTGCGATTTCAAATCTCTCCGTCGATTATTCTCACAAGTTCACGTGCGGACGAGGACTTTATAGAAGCATTAAAAACCACCGGCAGAACTATATTCTTTATTGTCTCAATTACGAATTCTATTTATCAATACTTTATGTATATATAAATACGAAAGATGAATCAAATTCCCTAGAATTTACCGTCGAGATTCGCCCAAACGTTGAATTTGTATGGGCATCAGCAAAAACAAAACATTTATCGATAAAGTTTGACGGAACTCACGGATTCAGTTCAGTACAAATCAGCGCTACAAAAAAAGACATGTATTTGAAGCTATCGAGTATTATTGATATGGATAGTGTTGAGGCAGTATGTTTTAGTTTTAATTCGCTATTGTTTTATACTTTGTTTAATATCGATTTTGTGAACCGTTTCAGGTCTGTTGCGCTGGTGCATTTCTTAGCTATATTGCAAGAGCAAGAGTCACAGATGAATTATTGCATCAGCAAGATCAAGACCTCAAAACACTGTCTATTGAGCAATTCTCGTTGTAAGTTATGCACAATGATACTTATAAACTGTTTTGTCTTTCTTTTAACTTTAAATTTAATAGGAAACCATTTCTGCATGTTAACGCGGATTCTCTTTGGTATTCTTATTATTTGATTTCTCGCAAATTTACATTTGATCGATAATTAATGAAAGCTTGAAATATTTAGTTCACTCCAAATCTTCGAGGACGAGTCTCATCCAAATATGCATGCGCGATCTCAAGCAAAAGAAGGGTTGTCTATTTTCGGTAATCCACAACATAAACCTATAAAAACAACAATTCTAATAGACAATCACAATGAGCCACAATAACTATAATTTTTATTGAAACGATAATGACTCAGGAGTGCTCAATAGAACAAGAACACCAGTCGGCAAACAACTCTTTAAACAATGGTTTCTTCGACCAAGCCTTTACTTAAATATCCTCGAAGGGAGATTTTGTACCATTGACTGTTTTTTACAGCCGGATAATCTTCATATTTCCGAGCATTTGGCTAATTGCTTGAAACATGTCAAGAATATCCCAAAAATACTGGAGAGCATGAAAGGGAAGTTGAATATGGCAGAGTGGCAGTCATTGTTGCAGGTAACTTTTATTTTTATATTTGAAATATGTATGATGTGAATGGATCTAATTGATTTTGATTCGTAGTTCGCTTATTACTGTCTTAAAATTTGTAACCTCATTCGAGAGTTGAATTCCTCGGAAAATATACAAACATTCAACAAAGTATCGAATTTCAATTTTTTTGCCTTTTTTGAATTTTTTTTAATCAGAATATTATATATTAGATAAGAGAAACTTTCGTTGTTACCGAGTTGAAAGATCTTGGTTCAGTTATAAATGATGTGGTATGTTTTTTGACATTGTAAAGCCGACAATTTCCGGATGAATTAGATTTCTCGTTGCAACTTTTGTAGATTGATTTCGATGAAAGCGCAAACGAGAATCGCGCTGTGGTTAAATTGCACGTTGATGAGGTGTGAGCTTTTATAGCCTTCATATATTAAACTATATAAACATTTATCTTGAATTAAATATTAGAGCTCGATGAAATGAAGAGAACGTACAATGGACTGGATGATTTCTTGATAAAAATTCTCCTCATTTTTGATATTTATTTCAGCAAATGAATGTAAACTTTGATCTTTTTTCATCAATAAAGTCTGAAGTCGCACGAGAAATTGCTACAACAATTCCAAGTGAATTCGCATCCACATTGAATGTCATTTACTTTCCTCAGCTCGGGTATTTGATTACCGTTCCGTTAAAACCTGAATGGAAAGAGGAAGAAGACTTCCAGATCGAAGGATTGTATTATCAGGTGGCGTAATTTAATTAATGTACCCATCAATGAATACAGATCTTAATCGATTTTTTATTTTTAGTTTAGTACAGCGACAACTGTATATTACAAGAATTCTCGAATGCGTGGTAAATGAAATAAATAAATGAAAATTTAGATGAGAATTTAAATGATTTATTTGAATTCAAAAAATTTCAGAACTTGATGAATATCTTGGAGATATTCATGGATTAATAGTTGGTTTGTATGATGTTGTCAAATTTTAATATGTCTAACAATTAATTATAAAAGTTTTTCTATCCAGACCGCGAAATAGAAATCATGCAACGACTTCAAGAACGAGCCAATGAGAATACAGCGTCACTATTAGCGTCGACAGTAGTTTGCGCGGAACTTGATTGGTAAAGATAATTTATATTAGCATTAAATCAATAATTAAACTATAATTGATCAAATAAAAAGTCTTCTTTCTTTGGCTGAGTCTGCTAGAAGATATCATTATTCAAGACCGCAGATGACCGAAGAAAATATATTGAAAATTGTAAAAGGAAGGTAATTTATCTAATGAGTATCCAATTAAGTTGGTTCAACCTTTGTATTAATTTATCAAATTAATCACTCAATTAAGACATCCACTTCAAGAACTTTATGTTGATGTATTTGTTGCGAATGACACGAATTTAGCGGGTGGCAAAGGAATAATCAAGCCAGAGGACAAAGAGAGTGAAAATCCAACTTTCCCAGCAAATCATGAATCTTTTACTGCATCAGCATTTTCAACGGTACAAGATCACCAAAATGAGGATCTAAAAAATGTTATGTTGCTAAGTGGCGCAAATTATTCCGGGAAAAGAGTTTATTGTGAAACAAGTTGCTGTGATTGTGTTTATGCCACATGTAGGAAGGTGAGAATATACTTTAAATCGAGAATTTGGGACTGTGGAATATTTTTTATCTCGAATATTGCTTTTATTTTTTTTATAGCTTTGTTCCAGCAGAGTCTGCTGTTATCGGGCTTACAGACAAGATATTTACACGCGTGAAACTATCTCAAAGGTCGATTTTTTTCAGTTTTTGGCCGCAAAAAAATATTTTATTTTCTTGAATCATATTCAAAGAAATATATTTTTCGCTTAAATTCTAGATTCAAAGTGCATTCATGATCGATCTACAGCAAATATCAATTGCTTTACGAGTTCAACGGAATGATGATTGCTTATATTTGATGAATTTGGAAAAGGGACCGGGTCGACTGGTATTTTAGTATTGTTGATTTTTCTCTAGTTGCATAATTGATTACAAAAATAATAGATAAGCGTTAAAAAAGATGGCGCCGGATTATTTTGTGGAGTGATTGAACATTTAATCAATCGAGGGCTAAAATGTCCCAAAGTGATTGCTGCAACACATTTTCATGGTAAATTTAATATTATATTTTTGCTGGGTATCCATAAATATTAGATTTTTAAATAACACATTTGAATTAATTTGGCTAGAAATATTTGAGAATAATTTAATGCCTCCTGATCTGCCTTTTCTTTTACGACAATGGACATAATCAAAAATGAGCAAGACGAAGAAATCACATTCCTGTATCGGTAATTATTTCGATTTGTTTCACCGAAATTTAGACGTCATCGTATTTTTATCAATTACATGAATGTATTTATAATGAAACAATTAGACTTGTTCCAGGAAGCATCTTGGGGGTACTTATTGTGCTACCTTGGCTGGAGTTCCAGAGAACGTAGTTCAACGAGGTAATTGTCACTGCTTGAATAACAATCAATTGACCAAACATAAAAATAATTAGCAAAACATTTTTCGACTTTATTTGCACGTTACGAAACAATTCCGCCTCCATTCACAAGTGATCGTGAAAAAAAGTTGTATGCCACATTATTAAGAATCGTAAAAATTGAAAGTTAGAGTCTTCAATTTTACTTATAAATTTTTTTACATAAAAATAAAATAAATAAATATCTAGCAATAAAAATTTTGCAAAGCTAGTATGAAATGATAATTATGATTGTCTATATATTGTTATACTATTTGGGTAACGGTTAATTTTGGGAATGGTATCTTAATTATAACTTGTGACTCTTTCATTTAAAATGTTATTTAACTAGCTCACGGGGTTTCTAAACAAACTATTAATGCAAACGTTGCTTTTTATAGCTAAAAGCCGTAAGCTCTAATTATCGTTCAACAAATTCTATCACAATAATCTTACGCCTTTTCTGGTTCAAAGGACCTAACCATCAATCACGTTAACTGAAATTCACGGGTCTGGTTAAAGATAATTATATAAAAGCAATTTGTACACAATTATAAGCAATCATATAAATCAGAGCTTTAAAAGCACACTTTATTTTACTTTTACGCAACTGTGCTTTTATACATTTGGATCAGGACAATTTATTGCATATTTTATAAGAAAAATTAAAAGGAGTCCCACGAAAGAAAAATTATACCAAAAAATAAAAATAAAAAAGAGAAATAAACAATAGCGTTCCAAAATGTTACTGTGTAACAATATCTATCGTATCATGCGTTACAAAAATAAACCATTTTTACCTTTTACCTAATTACAAATAAAAAAACTGACTTGTATTCTTGCTAAAAAAATATCGTATGATAACCTTGTTTTTATAAATTACTACTACACTACAGTACAATGGAACGTCGACTTCTCAACAATTTTGACAGGGCGTAGATTGTTTTTCTGTTCACGTAATTATCTGAAATCAAAAAGTTGACAGACATTTTAAACAAAGCAATATCGGGAAATTAAATATAGAAATCAGTAGCACGTTTAAAAAAATATTTTTCGGAACATTTGACTGCTGATCCATCAGTTTAATCCGATATGCAGTGAATTATTTCATTTACCAATTCGATAATTGAGATGAGAGATATCAACGTCATCTTGGAAAAGAAGCCATCCTATGAACAACACAAAAAGGACGAGATGGTGATGAAAACATATAAAAGAACCTGAGATGCAACTTTTTCAAGTGGAAAAAAAGAGGAAAAATCCTAAATCCATTCTAATCAAAAAACATTGTCTTCACTTTTTACTATATCATGATCTTTCTCGTATGACCCGGATGGTAGTTTCTCAGGGAAATGAAAGAACAATGGGTCAAAACACAGTTAGTATCTCGTGCCATTGAGTCAAATAAGGCCTGATGATATTGAATCAAATGCAGAAAAGATAGTTTCTAACTACAATAAAGAATGATTTTACCAAAAAAAAAGGTAAAAACTTGTGAAGCAGAAAACAAAAACAATCATGAAAATTTGGACGTATTGCTTAAGGAATTCTCGACAATGTATGCAAGCCAAGAGTAAAGATAACTTTGAAAAGCAAATGTTATCAATTTTGAAATATACATTCTTGGAGTTATAAATTAATATAAACTGAAGTAAAAGTATTATCAGCTATAAATTCAACAAACAGATCAAAAGAGGAGCTACTTAATCTGCAATGCGGCTCCTTACATTACCAGAAGAAACAAAAAAAATATTGAGATGAATTTTTTAAATAAGAGGAATTGGAAATCTATTTATTTCCTGGGACAGTTTTCAGACTTCCAGGTATCTCATGTGCTCATATCGTCATTTAAGAGAGGAGAGGATAGCAGAATTCAGGATTGTTATATGCAATTAGAATAATTTACTCATTTAAGGTATACATTCGTTTTATTTCAAAGTTATTTAAGGTTTCTTATCAATACTTATCGCTTACCAATATACAAATAAGAGCGGATACTATGTATAAAAAATTGCAATGTGAATTTTCTATCTAATTATATCATAAGCCAAAGAGAAATCAATTAGGGAATTGATAACAATTCCAACAATTAATCTCTCTGATATTGTGCTAAAGATATACGTGAAATTTGTGAAATTATTTTAAACATGAAATTGAAAATTTTTAAATAAATATCCATGAATCAAAAATAAACAAAAATATGATTTTGATATGTCTTGAAAAGAGAAAACTAGAAAGCAAAAAAATTTGCTTTCATTATTAAAAAATCAAAATAGACAATTTCATAGTTTGATCTCATTAATGATAAAAAAGCCTAAAATTATTGTGTATTATGGTTTTCTCTAATATTTAATTGGCATGATATTTCTGCATAATTTCTTATTGAAACATTATACATGTAAAAGTCAAAATTTACGAGAAAGTATTTTAAAACAGAAGGTTCAGGGATAACTAAATAAAAATTTCATGTTGGTATGGCTCAAAATTGGACAAGAAATAACGTAATGTCTAGATATATGCAATACTGTTATATTAATCAATCATAATTTTCCCTTTTTAAATCCATTGTGGAGTAACATATAACATTATCATTATTTACTAATACATCATTTGTCATCCTTTTTAGTATGCAAAAAAGGAGCTCATTCACGCTCCAACGGACAAAATATGATCCGTTGCTATTTCTTTATACCGGCATTAGGATTGTTATTATCTTTATTGAACCTCACTATTTCATGAAAAAATAATTAGTATTATTATTACGTGAAACTATATTTCACGCTTTATATCCCAACGTAAGACGATTTTGCAAGCGATTGTTGACTATATTAAGCAATGGGTATTTTTTCACTACACTAAAAACAACATGGTGTCTTCCTGGGCATATAGAATATTTCCTCATGTGAATATTTTAACTTAGATATGTTACTTTATAGACAGCCCAGCAAAGAAGTGTATACAGTATTCCACTGATAGCGGAATTCACATTTAAATGCTCATAACCGCATGAATTAAGAACCAAACCCATTTTTATAGTGTCTGTCTTAGAGATCAGTTCTTGGTGGTACGTGAGATACGAAGTCGCTTTCGTAGTACATGTACATGTAATTCGAAAGAAGCTGCTATTCGTTATCACGTGGATTCTCAATCCGGTGGTTAAGCGAAAAGAGTCTAGACAGACCAATACATTATTTATCGATCTTTTTACGATATTTTTAACTTTCGAAAAAAGAAAGAACTAAATGACATTGATCTGGATATGAATCATTTTCCTATTTCTATCGGACGAGTAACTCTGTTATCTGCTGATTAGTTAAAATTGAAGTAAAGAATATTAATGAAACCAAATTTTGACGATGTTGTTACAGGGCAAACGAATTATTCTGTTAAGTGTTAAGAAAACAAGCACAATTTGCGAATAAGCCAACTTTCAATAATTATATAAATCTCTCAATTTTAGTATGTCCTCTTATTCTGAATTTCATTTTGTTTGATTACGATATACAAAGTTCTTACATTAGCTCATTTTTAATTTTTGGAAATGAGCTTCGTCTTATCTTCCTTCAAAAGGCAAATATTGGTAATAAAAATTATATATCTATCACAAATCTCTAGTGTTTCTATTATAGCACATTTTCAATGTACATGTAATTGCAAAATCTTAAAATATATATCACTTCAATATAATCCAAAATTACCTGTCCCGCTAATTTGGTTAAGATGTATCGGTACTTATAGTCTCAATCAGGAACAAAAAATGAATTATTTTTTCTTAATTTAGAGAGGTTAGAGGTTTGTAACTATAAAGGGATAATGATTTTTAAAAGTGACTTTAAAAATGTGACTACATGTATAGATTATATAGGGGTGGGACTATAGAGGGTATACATTTCATTATAAATAAACGGAACAGCTTATGTAAAAAACCATAAACTCCGTAATAACGATAACAATTGCTCATTATTAACTCCCATTTGTGATCGATCATTATTCGGTTTTAAAATAAATAAATTACATGTAAGGGGGAAATGAATAATGAAATAAGGAATTTAAATTCCATTTACATGTGCATTTGAAAAAAACATGACGATCTACAAGACATATTTTACGCACATGTACCTATTTTCAACAAATGATGAAACATGTTACTGTATGCTGTCATACCGAAAAATAAACAAAGCTCACGTGAGGTCATAGAATTTTGCATTGATTTTATTATCCCTGCCAAAATAGGAGAGATTAAAGTCTTTGTGAAACTTCAATTTTGAATCAAAGGGAAAATGTTTTATGGTACACACATGAAAAAAAGGATGCTATTTGTTAAAAAAAATGCAGTATCATAATTTCGCTCAATTAACGTTAATAGACTAGCATAATACGATCTTGTGTTTCTTACGTCAAAACTGCGTATTTTTGGTTCCCCTTTTTTTCTTTTAGCTCAGGAGAGACTGGCTGACTAAGCCAAAATTGGCACACTAAGTCAATCAATGATTTCACAGGCTTATGATCTCTTTGCTTTCCTATATAAAGGATAACGATAAATTGTTTGTGGCCAAACCAAATACAAATTAGATTAGTGAATGCGTTCTAAAGTCATTAGTTTAATGTTGTTGACAACTCAGAATTTGTTTTACAGCTTTCTTTAAATAAGGCGGCGAATAACAAAATTTGATAATTTTAATAATTACATTAGCAAATTGCATTTCACGTTGTTATTCGATTTCTTGTGAACCATCTGATTGAACTCATAACAACAATATTTCCATACGTTATTCTTTAATTAATGCATACTCCTCGTTTACCATCAGATTGTTTATCATACATATTCAACTTCTTAGAAACCAGAGATTCCCTTCGGTCTGCGGGGTTGGTTAACATAGAGTGGAATGCCGCCGCCATGCCTATTCTTTGGTCTAATCCCTTCGCATCGATTAATCCAAAAATTATTCCAGTCTATATGAAATTTTTGTCACAGAAAGTCAGGACAAGGCTAGAAGGCCGAAGTTCTCATGAATCAACAACGACGAAAACAAAATTATCAAATCAATGTCCGACTTTTGATTACGCGGCTTGTATTCATCACTTGGATTTCTATATAATATACATGTCTGCTGTTTATTACTATCATTTGTTTCCTGATGAATCAGCAAGAAAGTTTTTTGAAGAGCGAGAAGTGTGTAGTAAAAGCGCGCTGTTAGCTCGAGAATTAATTCAGATGTTTATTAAGAAAAGTAGATCTATCCAAACACTTGTTTTTGTAAAGTCTCGTCGTTATACTTTACTTCCTGTGGTATTTGCGCCAATGAAAATCGACATTACAGCAGAATCATTAAGAAATCTTCGCCTTTTAGTTTTTTCCGGATGCAACGGAATGTTTAAGCTACTTCAAGCAATGGCAAAATGTTGCACACAGATTGAGCAACTTGCGGTACGAAATATGGGAAATATGGATACTAGTGAAAAAGCTGTAAAAGCACTAGAAAAATTACTAGCCCCTCAAAGAAGGTTATCGCATCTATCAATTACCAAGGTCGATTGTGAATCATTAGCGACGAATATGAAGGAATTGATTTTAACCTCGCATAAAACATTGAAGATAATTTCCTTGAGCGCATGCGATGTCGGGGAAAAAGTATTCAACTGGCTGGCAAATTGTGAGAATTTGGTTAAATTAACATTGGATGAATGCAGATTTCATGAATTGCCAAAAAACTTTCAATTGCCAGCAAAGAGTTTCAGTAAATTGAATGAACTTCGTATACAACGTTATGGTCCATCTCTGGAAATATTACATTCTATGCTAGAACATTCAAATAGTTCTTTACGTATTCTATCGCTACCTTTAAGTGAAAATCTCCACCAAAACAATCTTTTACATATTGCTGACAATTGTCCGAATTTAGAATGGATTCACACCGGAATCGCATATTCTAGTTTTTCACAAATACAAACTCTTCTTAAAAATTGTCGTAAACTTAAGGTTCTTCAATTAATCAACGGAGAAATTATAGAAATTTTTGATGAAGAAATTGAAGAAACTATGTTGATAGAAGATGGACATTCCCTCAAAAATCTAGCACCTTGCGTTCCTCCTACAATGACAGACTTCGCTATCTGTGCACAGAGATGTTTTACACCGACCGACGTCAATGACTTTTTAAAGAACATTTCATGCAAGTTACAAACTTTTCGATATTTATATAGTGGATGTATTGTAGAGCATCTTTCAGCAATTGACGATTATGCCATTAGTATGGGGAAAGCTTTCAAAGAAGATATCTTGAGTGGTTCGGTCACGTTTGGGTATCTTGGAATCCAATTCACAGATGAGGATGAAGAAGTAGTTAGTGATTCAGATTATTTGGAATTTTAACGATATAAAACGTTTTCTGAATAACCTATTAAAATATTTATTAAAATATTTTTAACATTGAGGATTTTATTTAATTCGTCATTTTAGCCATTGAAATTATTCTTTTTATATTTTTCAAATCAGAAAGCAAAGCACATACTCATTTAAAGCCTGTATATATATATATATATGTTATTTATTTCGAAAAGTTATGCGGATATAAAACTCTAATCTGGTGATTCTTATTAAAAAAATTGTATTTATTTTCTTTTTAATACCTCGGATATATGAGAGATCTAATAAAAATACAATGCACATTACGCAAAATACTTTCTGGTTATACTTACTATTAAGAGTTAAAACAGTTTAATTTGAATCAAAACCGTGAGAAGCGCTTTAAAAATCTCGTAAAATCTTCTGAAGTCAAGTGATATCTAATGTTCTGTTGCATGGGAGCTATGCACGTCAAACAACTGTGCAAGTATGTACATTCCGGTGAGGTGATGGCTGCGGGAAGACAAAAACTACATATAAATCAAAAATTGCAGCCATGTTCCGTTAAAATAAAATTTAGTGTGCATTCTTTTTTGACACGCTAGAATCTGTGGTCTAAGATCAAGCGAAAAAACGAAGTATTTATCCGACTTTGCTAAATTGTGTGATGTGCAAAGGGGATGAAAGGAGGCCCGACAAAGTACTAGTTGTTTTGTATAATATATAAAATTTAACCCACAAAATAAAAGTTTATTAGTATTTTTAGAATTTCTTATGGAGCTCCCTTAAAATCGAACGAGTAGAATTTGCAGTTAACTGTTATTTTATCATTAGCATACCCCCATCGCCAATATTGAATGATTACCATATTCTCCCGAAAATAAGCAACCCCTATGTCGTCATTTGGGGATCAAAAAATTAAGGGTTGCTTAAATTCGGATAGTTTAAAATCTATTAAATAATAATTTCTAATAAGGGTTGCCTATTTAACTTTTTGATCTTTTGGGGGTGTTGCTTATTTTCGGGAGTATACGGTATTTCATTTTCGTTAATCTTTGAAATATAAACGTTTGATGTTAATGATATTGATAGTAAAAATAATAGCAAGGTTAGTTCCTATTCCGGATGTTATGGAGTAAAGCTTTCTGTTTGATATTATTACAATTAAATTAAATTAACTACTCATTGTGTATTCAGTAATTTTCCACCAAACCTTTCTCAGTAATAATCAATGCATTTTAACTAAACTTTGTATGCTGTGCTGCTTAATTGCCTAAAATAAAAATTAATATGTATGATTTAAATAAACGAAATAATAGTCTTTTATAATTTTCTCTATTATACATATATATTCTTATCTCGTGAACTTTTCCAAAAAGTCTCTTCATCCATTAATAAGCTATTTACAAACGGCACTAATTACCACAATAGCAAGAGTTCATGAAGTTCGATCATACAATCAAATTTTCTTGGAATAATTCAATTTAGTATCTTCAACTCAGGACAAGGGATAAGCCTTCTTTTTGATAATATTATTGAAATTTCTATAATCAATGCAAAATTATTTTTTTCATTTTTTCAATATAACTATTAATTAATTTATTCAAGATTTGTTAAATCTAAAATAATAAAATCGTTACTTTATCTTTGCAAAATAACGGGCATAGGCGTTATTTCGAAAATTACGTCCTAAAAATCGCATATTTCAGAATAACGCCCATGGACGTCCCAAAATAACGCGCATCTGATAAAAGATATTGACGGTTTTATGACACATATACGTAAAGTAATTTATTAGTATAAGTTACTTCGTAATATCGTAATTATTTAGAATTACCGATACATATACTGTATACATGTAATAGCTTACTTCTACAGCATACATGTATGCGGTACGAGTAACCTAAAGTGTGACAACGTCCATGGGCGTTATTGAAAATATCAGGCTGAGAAAATTTGAAATAATGCACATAGGCTTAATCAAAATAATGTGCGGGTGGGCGTTATTTCGCGAAGGTACGTTACAAGCTTTAGCAGTTGCTCCAAGCACTTATTAGCGTGAGTAATTCTTTTTATTCAATTATTTCTTTTTTTATAAATATTTTAATTAGTCAATTCCAATCTAGCAATTCTTAATTTTTATAATTTATATTTCTTTAATTTAAAGGATATAGCATGAGTTATCTATTCATTGGATTGGATTGGAATTTATATGATAATATTTCTACATTTTTAATATAATTGATATTTCTTTTTGACTTCAATTTTCTTTTTACATTCAGGATTCGCTTTAACAACTATATAGCTTAACAGGCACCGGTCGAACAGAATAAGTTTCATCTTGTATAAAATCGGGGCTAAATAATATTTAAAGATTACTATTTATTTCTTTAATGCATTTTCTACTATATTTTTGTCATATTGTATACTAAGATTGTTAAACCAATTGAAGAACAATAATAAATGCAAATAATTTTTTCAAAAATTGCATTGTCATATATTCCACATTCCAGATTTTTTTTATATTTGCAAATGTCTGAAGTGACATGGAATTTAACACTTATAATTTTGTTTATTAGATTATAAACAGAATTTTTCTCATTCTGATTATTTTTTATGACTTTTCAATAACACTTCAAGAAGAATGATTTATTTAACCTTCTAGATATTCATTATATATATAAAAAGTTAAATAAATAACATTATTTTTTTATATATTCTCAAGTATTCTTTGAATATATTTAACTATTAATGTTAATATATAATTATATATATAAAAATAAATTAGATAGGATAATTTTAATACTAAAATTCCAGTTTATAACTAATTATAATATGATTTGTAAAAAAAATAATATATATAGGCTGTTGCAAGATTGATATATCAATATAAAAATTAATAATTGCTTCTAATAAAAATTATTCAAATTTTAACCAATCTTTATAATTTTTTTATATTAAATAAAGAATAGTCTAAATTAATTTTTTATATTATTTTAATTATTTTATTATACTTTAATTTAATAATAAATGAAGTATTACTTTACTAAAAAAATTAAAATAAAATTATTTTTTTTTAAAAAATATGATATTTTAAATATTATTACTATCAATTTAAAAAATTAAAACTTCAAACTATGCAAGCAGATTGCTCTATATTTGATAAATATATATTTTAAAATTTTATAAAAATTAAAATAGTAGTTATAAAGATATTAAGTTTCAAAGTTTAGTAATTAAATTATTTACTATATAATTTTTATATTAATTTTAATCAAATTTTATATAGTAAAATTTATCTAATAATTACAAAAAGTTATTATTAGTATAATAATTTTGATTAGATTATCTCTCTTTAGCTTGAATCTTTATATTGTGCTGTTATCATAGTAATATAAAATTCCTTAATTCCTTAATCTTTCTCTAGTTATGAAAAATTACATTTTATTATAATTTTATTTATTTTATAATTATCCCTAT